TGCAGCAAATAGGGAGACATTGCAGAGAGGTATGAACTTAATAAAAAAAGGAACATATACCTATGAGAAAGAGAGGATATCTGTTGTAACTGCATGGTGGTCCCAGATTCCTTTCCAATTCCCTTGTACAAAAAGGTCCAAAGGGACTGCATTGCTCAAAAGTTGGTCCATGTAGACAACAACAGGAATCCTCCTTTGTTCATTCACCAAATATGAGCACCCACTATGAAATGGGTGATGTGATCGATGACAAAGAGACAGATAAGGTCTCTGCCCTCACAGCCTAGAAAGGAGCCACCAAGTTCTACACACACACATGAATTTTTCCCTAAGTTTGTTTCACAGTCATGAAGCTGCTTGAAAAATATGACCAAAATCTAGTTAATATTTATCCTCTTGTTATGTTTTTGAATGACCAACTCCTTGATTCATAATTCTCTTTTCTTTAAGTATGTACGAGAGAGATTATCTACTCAGATTGTCACAAATATTCTGCACCTATTCATAGGGATCTAGGTCTGGAAAACAAATTTTGCAAAATGACCTTTCTCAGCATAGCACAGGGTTTATTACACTTTGCTTAAGAATTGTCAAGAAGAACCTAATTAATGTGCTAAATGCTCTTTCCTATTTCTACATAGGAGCCTGGGTTTGGTTTTCAGTTGATATATACACAGTTGATATATACCTGACATACACTTGTCCTCTTCACCCTTCTACTTTTAACACCTCTTCAAGCCAACTTCTAAATTCCTTCTTATTCTGATGACCATGTGTTCAGAAGGGGAACTCGATGTACACTTAATTCAGGTTCTTGGGTATTTAGCCTGATCTCAGGAGGAGGAGGAGTAGAAATGGTTTTGAGTGGCATTTCTAGGTGATGAAAACCACCAGACTTCGAAGTGCTAAATTATTTGCTTGTCTTGGCTAACCTGATGTTTTATGCTATCAAAATGTTGGACTTTACTATTAGTCTAATATTACTTCTCTGCCTCTTCTCTAGCGCACCGACTTTTGAGAGTTAATGGTAAATGCTGCAGAAAATTCAGCATCTTCCTTGCACTCCAGCAGGGGCAAACATCTTTATTAGGGGTTGGATGAAAGGGCTCTATATTTCTTGAAGCCTTTCCCTTTAAATTATTTCTGGTAGAGGCTGGATTTGAGATCTGCCTCTGAGTTGCTAAGGGCTATTTATGATTTATTTCAACCTTTAGCTGGCTCTAGGAAAAAAGTGCACAAAGTTGAAAATAAAGAAGATGCTTAATCCTCAGTAGTATTTCAGTGGTATGGGGCACCCTGACTCTTAGGATGGGTACATTATTTAAATTTTGATATTTTTATTATTTCTCTCACAAATAAAATTAAAATCCTTTATCATTTTTAATTAGAGAACAAGGGCCATCATTTATAGAAGAGAACACACTTAAAGCTATGAGTCTTTTAATGCAGACTGGTCCTCTGAGACTTTTCTGGAGCACAGTGAGGAAATTTTAAAGCCAGTCAAATAATTTTCCTAGGCAAAGTGGTGATAGGCCATGGTGAGATATGGGTGTCATTAAAATTTCATAGAGGTCCCTAACGCACCAGAGTCACCATAACATTGACATGCTGACTATAATATCTCCAAAGAAGCATTTGCTGCCTATCATGGCTCTGAAGGGAGCTGTTACAGTCTATCAATGCAATAATCTGCATGTTAAAAAGTCCCTAAATATGTATTTACAAGATAGTCAGAACTGTTTTGGTCTATTGGGTCAATAATCCAGGCACTCAAAGTCCCTAAATATGTAGGCACAAGATAGATCAGCTTTGGTTCACTGAGTCCATAGCAAGTAGGTCTTTACAAAGGGGCCTCTACAGTTACACAGTTGGCATTTTAGCAAGTTCAGAAACGCAGTTCTTTGCACTTCCTGTCTTTTAAAGAGTGGGTTTATTATGCTAGTTCCAGTGGATGCCAGAAGCTGTGTTTCCCTTCGCCCTATGGTATTTTGCTTTTTAAAAAGTCAGAAGGAAAATCCCGTTTTTAGCCCAAATCTGTAGCCCAAATCTAATTGCAGCTTGGAGGCAAATGATGGAAACACGGACATTTAGGCAAAACCCTGTGCCCAGGGATGGATGCTGTCCTTCCAGACCATGCCTCAGCCCTTTCTGCCTCACCATCCCCGGGCATCCACTTTGGCTTGCCTGACTATGCCGCTGCAGCCTTTGCTTCCTACGCCCAACACTCCCCCACCACCCCGCCCCCATCCCCCTGCAACTGTCAGATTCATTCCGGCAACCAGAGGAATCTTGCTAGGGTTTCAGCTCTTCTACAGCAACTTTCCATCCTCACGGGAAAGTGAAAGGTGCCTCAAGATAAGCCCCTCCTCCCTCTGGCTTCTCCTCCTTCCACTCTCCTCCTTGTCCAGGCTGCTAGAGCACTGGCCTCTGCTGTTCCTTAAGCACACCGGGCATGCTTCCGCTTCCAGTCCTTTGTACTTGCCCTTCCCACGTGGCTGCTCTCTTACTTTCCTTAAGTTTCCTATGAGAGAGGCCTTCCCCGACTTCCTTGCGTAAGACGGCAAGACCCCGTCCCAACAAACAATACCATGCGTTTCCTGTCTCCACTACCCACGCATTTGCTCTCCGTTAGCCCTGCCCATCCCAGAGCAGGCTGTGTCTTTGCCGTTTCCGGGCGGGTTAAGCTGCCTCTGCAGAGGCTCCAACAATCGCATACTTAGATAAGAGCCTGGCCTATTTTAAGTGCTCATTAACTACTGACGGTAGAAACGAATGGGAGCAGATGGAAAGGAAACCTTCCTCAGCTTCTTCGACAGCCTGCTGATGTGTGTTTTCCTCTAGGTTGAGGAGAAATCTTATCTTTTTTTGAGATGAAGTTCTCTCTTTGGCCATTAGGCCTGTTTTCTGTAATATTCTCTAAGAGGCACAGAAGCAGTCCTGGAAGGGGCTCGACCACTGCATTCTCAGAGCTCTGAGGGAGCTGAGGTCATCTTAGCTGGTCACAGAGGCACTTGACTGGTGTGCGTCTAAGTACAACAGGGCAGAAGACGGGACTGTGATTTCAAAGTCTCCCCACTTAATGTGGCATCCACAATGCTCAGCAATCATCCACAATCATCAGCAATGCTGACAGCCGTGGACTAGATTTTACCATCTAATCTCACACAGCCGTGAGGGATGGTGTGTGCCACTCTGCCTCGTAACCGGGACAGACTGAGGAGTGCTAGGTAGAACCATTATTCTCTCCGAAACCTGGTAAATGATCCTTGGGATACTCCCCCACGCCTCTGCCCCTCTGTTTAACCATGTACAATGCTTAAAAATGCATCCTTTCTTGTGATTGAAGCCTGTCACAGTAACGTCTTCCTTATTTAAATTTCACAGGAACATTCTTATTTCAATCACTCAGAAAGACGCCTTCGGCAAGAGAATCACAGCTGACAGCAAATTAATGACTATGATGCTGTGATTAGTTGAGATTACAGGCTACAGAGGACCTGTCTGAGCATTTACCACTGTCATCATACTGAGACTGGCATCTATTAGGGATTTATATTGTTCAAAAAAGAGGATGTGCTTCAGCTACAGTAAGCCCTACAGAAAGGTAAGGAAATCTGTCTGCACTGGAATATTCAATGATATGTTAATTAATTAACATAATTTTTACTGTTAACCTGCTAGCCTAAGCAAGTTTTTCTTCCATGCCCTCCCTCCGAATACAGATTTATTTTTAATAAAGCTTAAAGGCACAAACTAAATAAAAAGCTGAAGTGAGCTAGGTAATTCCAGTTCCTAAGCCCAAAGTATTCATTAGCTGAAAGGAAAACATCATTTAATCTTGAATTATTTGGGTAAGTGACTCAATTTTGTAATTTGTTTTTCATGAGAAGACAAAACTTAATGGATATTTCAGTGCATACCAGTCCTTGAATAGATTTATAAAATAAAACTTTTCAATCAACTTAATGGAAAAGGGATAAAAAATCAGTAGGAGCAACAACAATGCTGAAACCATCTACTCAGATGCTAGGTATCATCACACAAATGATTTCGGTAATCCCCAGCAATGACTTTTGCGGGGCGAAGATTTCAAATAAACGTCTATTTGCTTTGGGTGAGCTTCACAGAATCGGCCTTATTTGATTTCAGATCCTCCTAAGGGAAGAGATTTCAGGATTTCCAGGTTGTAAAATGGTAAAGAACATTTTGCTGAACTTGTATGACATCATCTAAAGCATTAAAAGGGCAGATAATCATGGGTTCTCTACCTGTTTACCAAAGCTTCTTTACTTTCCCAATCTACTTTATTTCCAAATGTCAGAGTGGTCTGAAACCTTTCAAAGATTTATAGATGGCAGCAGAAGAGGAAATATTAGGATAAGTCCTTTAACTTTTGTGAAAGCTTTTAAATAATTAATCGATGGGCTTTTGGAATTATTGTATATCACAGTCTAGGTACTCTACCGTATATGGTGTTAAGGCTAAACAATAAAAGGGCATTAGACCATTCCTCTTTCTAGAAAGTCAGTGAAACTGCTTTTTATGGTATATACTTGAGTCACAAATAAAGAGAATGTTGAATAAGTGAAAGAAAATATACCTAATATAAAACAATTTAGTTTGTCAACTAAAATCAAAATGCCAATGAATGAAAACAGAAGTACAATCTTGATTTTAAATATAATTTTTTTTCAAACTCTACTTGGAAATTACCTCATTACAGCAAAAAGAAAAAAAAGTGGCTGCCCTAATACTATTTATGAAAATCAACAAAAATGCAAGCAAATTATTTTCAAGCTTATATTATAAAAATGTTTTCTAGTATATTTAAAATACTAGACACAAACAGCCCAAACAAACAATAGGTAAAAGAACTTACCCTCAATATGTAATAGACAAAAATATTTCTCACAGTAATAAGTTAAATTTTTCTTTGTTGTGCAAAACCCCTCGGCCATAACTTCATGAAGAAACGTGAAGTGGTGTGAAAATGATCTTACCTCATATTCAAAGTCCTCTGCTCTGTCTGCTTCAGCAGGCAAGCTGGAAAGATACTCATTGTCCTCATAAAATTCATGCTCCATCGGATGAAGAGAATGGCAGCTGTGGGGAATGTAGCGAGATGATAGAAATGGATCAAAAGGGTTGTTTTCAAGATTAAAACTGATTTTAGAATTTCACTTGTTTTCTCTGCTTTGCCATAAGACCTGTAGCAATCCAGGCTTTGAGTGAACTAGAAGCTCGAAAAAAGTGATTGCTTTCTCTCTCCCCTCCATGGGGTCCGTCAATTTGATTTTCTGAGAGAATACCAAGAGGAAGGGCCCATGGCCAGAACTGCACTCCAAAGAGTCTGATGTGAAATCTCTTATCGGCCATGGTGCAGGATACTCCCTGGCCTGCTTCCATTCCACCAAATGTGACTTGCTCCATACATGGGTGTGTGGCTTCTGAGACCACAGTCTACCCAAAGAGGGGTTTTTATAATGAAGTACTACCCATTTCCTAATGCACAGCCCCAAACTGTTTTTTGAAATCTGATTTCAAAAGCACCCATTTTTCAGATTGTAAAACATACTTGCCTTGCCCTCAATCCTTAAGACCTTCTTCCTTGTTCTCCCTCATAACCCACATTTTTCCCTCTTTGATAGAGGGCCCATGCACAAATTTTAATCAGCATTCATGGTGACACCTTGCTGGAAATTCCTATAAGCCATAGGGTTTCATAATCCCTTCCAAAAATTCAGAGAGGATTAAAGGAAATGAGGGGGACCTGGGGCATCGTACATAAATTTTATTTATCTCACTTCAGAAAAATGTTGTAAGTCATTTATAGAAATGCTTTAAAATTGCTATATGCTATGATATAGATCCTATACTTTAGACCATGTGAAGGTCAAGTATAGTTTAAAGGCAAAGGACACGAAGGCATCTCTATTTCTAGAAGTTAGTGAAAAAGACTCAGTGCAATTAAGCAAGCTGGTGGCAAGTGCAATCTCCAAGCTTCACCAGGGTGGACATTACTGAAAAACTGGAGTTAGTAGTATAAATCGTTTCCTTATCTCTAGCCCAAAGGTGCACAACAGATGCATCCTGGGGTCCTCACACCCTCAATATAAACATTCTACCATCTCTTCTCACTGCTGTCTATGGCTGTCATCTCCACATAGGGTTAATCGATGTGAACCTTAACAGCAAAAGCAGTACATGGAACATTTTACTTGCTGGTCTAACAGGTAAACTGTCCTTGCTTAAATTTAGACTGGCTCTGAAAACCCATTTGGGCTGGTAAACCATTAAGCTTGCTGCTTTGGAAAACTAATGGGTTTCTCTTGTCTTTCAGTTGGTAAGAAGGGAGCCCTGCCACAAGGAACACCTTATTCATTCAATAAACATTTATTGTCTACGAGATGCTAGGCCCTCTGCTGAGGGCTAGAAATCTGTGAGTACACCAAATCCAATCCTTGCCCTATGCACTGGGTAGAGCAGTAAGGTGGGAATGTCAAATGTGAAATGTGAGACTTCAGGGGAAATATGGAATCTGAGAGCAGATGGGAGGGGGGATGTCCCTACTGCAGTTCTAGGAAGTTTGCTAGAAGAGGTTGCCTTTAAGCTAAGGTCTGCTGGACTTACGGAGAGCGACATAGGATATCTGTTTAGAGAGTGGGTAGTGGGGTCGGACCTCTTAGGCTCAGAAGCCTGGCCCTATCACTTCCTTCCAGTGTGACCTCAGCCAAATTACTTAACATCTTCCCTCATCTGTGATGGTAATAGTACAATGCACTCCCTCTAAAGACTGTTGTGAGGACTAAGTGGGTTAATAAATGTAGACCACTTGTAATATTACCAAAAACATGCCAAATTAGTTAATAAATGTTAGCTGTTATTCATTCAAGAGAGTGTTTATTGGAAGTCTCCTCTGCGTTAGGTAGCACTTATCAATATTCAGTATTTGTTTGCCTGTGTATTCTTCTTCTCCTCCTCTAGAAGGTAGGTGGTGACTTTATTTTCATTCCCAGTTGCATGCCCAGCACCTACTTCCAGTGCCGGATAAAGGGGGCTATTTGATAAGTAGTGGTTGCTTGGATGGAGTACGAAGCAAGATAAACAGCGTCCTTGCCCTCCTGGAACTTGAAGTTTCAAGGAGTGGTTTCCAAAACATGACTGTACCTTAAAATTGCCTAGGGAGATTTTGGCAAAAAGATTTGGTGCTTGGGGCTCACTCTAAAAACTCCTTTTTGATTGGTCTTATGTGGGATTGAGACATTGCGTTGATACGCCTTTTTAAAATTCCCAGGTGATTCTAATGCACACCTGTGGACCACTGACACGAACAGAAGCCACTAAAGGGCAGGGAAGTGATCAGATTTGTGTTTTACAGAGTGCAGAATGGATTGCAGTAGGCAATGAAAATGCAGCCTAAAGAGACCATTGTTCTTATAAATCAAACTCTCTCTAATGTTTGAATATTTGCTGCATAGCACACAGAGCAAAATGTATGGGGCAAAACATACTTCCTCATAAAATAAGACTGTACAGGTAAGATTATTTGAATAAAATCTCTCAACCTGCCTTTAAATTAGGTAAAAAATTGGAAAAAGATATTCCTTTAATAGATTCTGATTTCACAGCCCTTATACTTACTCACTGACAGTCTGAATCTTTTGTTGACATCTCAATATATTGGGTAATTGCTTTCTTTGGAGAATTGCACTTTAATTAAATTAATTTCCTAGCTTTTCCTTTAAAGAAGAGAAAAGCAAGAGTGAAAGAGAGAGAGGCGACCCACAGAGGAGAAAAGAGTGCCAACACGCCACTTCTGTGTCAGTCTTAATAAGGTTTTTGGCAGCTTTGGTGAGAAAAGCTATTTCCCTGACCGGTGCTCACGAGTAGCATGAGGTTTTTGATGGCTGGAAATATGAAGATGAACTAATCAGAGCCAGAATTTTTCATTGCTCCTCAGCAAGCATGATTCCTAACGTGAAGCAACTGTGTGGGTCAGGGAAAGTCACTCGCAGGGCCAGCTGGGATCTAATTGGATATAGACACAACGGAGACGTTTTCCAAAGAGAACTGAGAGCCTGTCTCTATAATGGTCAGCTTGCTAGTGTGACTGATTCTCTCCAACACCTACTTGGAATGCTGAGTGAAAACAAATAGGGCTTTGGGAAAAATGACAGGAAAAAAAAAAAATACCTGTCTGAGAGCAGGAATGGACAGATGTCTGGCACTGGAGGGGTAGGCGGCCGAAGTTTTGCCAGAGCCATGATGTGCTCGAAGGTGATGTCTGTCTGAGTGCTAGCGTCCATGAGCTGCACTGCTGGGGCCGTTCCATAGGCTGGTTTACTGAGAGGTGTTCGTCTTAGCACCTGGACCACAATGGGCTCCTTGGCATTTCGAAAAGCTTCCACTGCCTCTTCATGGGTGGCCTTTGAGAGATCCTTCCCATTGACCTGTGAAGGTACAAGGACACTGCTCATCACAGAGGAAAGAACAGAGAGGCTGTCATCCTAGATTAAAAAAAGGTGGGAGGCTAAGTTTAAACACCTGCTCTCATATGAAGTTTGTAAAGCATTATTTAATTGGACACTGACATTTACTGAACTCTTCAGCAATACTTGGAAGTGAAGAAGATTAGGAAAACAATTGCTTCTTGTTTAATTCGGAAGGATACTATCAGGATCATTAGTAAAGATTAAAAAATTTGAATCACACGTTGGCCTCAGAAAATGTTCACCCAAACCTTCAGATAGGTAGAAATGTTAAGTATATCTTTTTAAAAAAAATGTCCTATCCATCTCTTTGTGGAATTTTCAATATTTAATCAAAGTTTGACTGACTTGATATCTGATTTTGTGGGTATTGTCCAATTCCTTTCATATTAATTGTTTTTAAATCCAAGACCATGTTATCATCATAAAATCAAGACCATGTTACCATACATTTTATTGTAAATCTTGGCTGTTCAACGTGTGGTCTGTGGACCAGCAGCATAAGCATGAGCATAAGAGATTACTAGAAATGCAGGATCCCTGACCCAACCCAGGCCTGCTGAGTCCGAACTGGTGTATTAACAGGATCCCAGCTGATTTATATGCACTTGAAGGGTGCACTGCTCTAAAACATCTCTGAATATACTCTGTTCCTTTGGATCCTTGCCTGTTTTAATTTATACCAATTTACGACTCTCCAAAGTAGCCCTGGACATAACAGAGAGAGGGAATGTCTGCCTTTGCTCTCTGTCACTGCTTCCCAGCAGGGCCAACTACTGGCATTTGGGAGAGAAAAATCATTCTTTTTGTGAGACTCTCCCATGCCTAATTACCAAGAGCTAGTGCTGTGCTCCAGCCTTTGTGGCACTCCAGACACCCGCACAATTTTCTAAACACTCTTTCCAGTGGCAGTACAGACTGCTCTCACGTTGCTGTCAGTTTATTTTCCTAAAACCAGTCCTGATGACAGAGTCCATCGTGGAAGTTGTTTTAATAAAGGCCTACAGCATCCTGAAATATCTTCACAGTTCCCACCCTAGATGAATCAATAATGTTGGTTTTTGCAAATAGGAAAAGATACTTGGGGGCACAATACTGTGCTTAAAACCCCTGAAATGATACTCTTTCTAGACAATGAAGCCATCTGCCTGTTGGGGAGGCTCTGATAACAGCCATGTACCAGCAAATCCTTAGGGATCCCTGGGTGACTTAAGAAGAAGCAAAGAAAGTCGCTGAGTTGCAGTCAGAGAGCAGTGGCTGACATCCAAATGAGCACATTCTCCCTCCCTGAGTAGACAAAGAATATGAATGTGCTCAGAGCAAGTGTGGGGTATTTGGGGGTACAATGCCAGGTAGAAATCGTCATGTCATGTCGATACAGGCTTAATGACCTGGAGGACCTAATTTACTCAATGGACCCTGAAAGAGTTAATGTGCCTTCAAAAATTGAGCAATTAAGTTTCCTCACCAGCAAAATATGTCCCAGTACAGTTCTTGGATCACTAGTAAGAAACTTCAGTAGACAATACAAATGGTTACCTACCAGTGTGCATACACTCATGAATCTTTACATTCTCACTCTGATTCTTTTCTCTATGGACTAAAGTTGAACATTATTGCTGCCTTGGTATTGGTACAACCTTGGAATGTCTAGATAACCTTGGGCATGGGGGAGTATGTTAACAAGCGACATCAGTGGACATATTCATTCCTTGAGCTATTGGTCTAGGGTCCAACTTTGGGCCGAGGCCACCACTTTCTCTCTTGAGGATGTGTAATCAGCAGATGGTAAGTGAAATCCAAGAATGGAGAAACAAAACCTAAAATCTAGCCTCTCATCTTGGCTGGTATCATTCTTTATGTATCACACTGTGGTCAGTATTTAAGAACTCCAGGGTTGTAGAAGATGATCCAGTAGTAGACAAGATTGCTCTGCCAGAATCTATGGGGTAGGGAGAAACTGCCCTTTGTCTCCAGGCTTCTGCTTTATGGTGTCCCTTCAGTTTAGTGAATATCCAGTCCTGCAAAGTCTTACATCCTTCTCACCCTGAAAAGAAATCTTGGTCATAATCTATAAGCTTTACATTTAAAGTAACCCCTAATAGGGGTAGAATGAAAGAAGACAGTGTCCTTTTTGAAGGACTTCAAACAATATCTGAAGGTAAAGAGAAAAACAATTTGTGGCTAGGGTGTCTTCCAGTCACACATTAAATCCTTCTAATGCATAAATTTTGTGTCATTATGTAGTGGACGGACTAATGCCATTATCCTATTTCTTTCTCAAGGTGGCTCAGCACCTTGCCTACAATGTAGTCTTGGTATTCCTTTGTTTCTTACTTGTTTTTGTGATTTTCAAAGCAAGAGTAATTTTTAAAAAGCGAGTTCCTCACTGATTACTGATTATTTTTGTAAAATCCAGAAACGTATAACAATTTCTGCAGAAACATAAAGATTACCAAAGAGTATTTTAGGCTGTGAAATAATTAGTTCTTATTATAATGTTCAGTATATGCAGACAGTATTAGTGTTCTCACAGCAAGATCAATAGCTATTGATTCTAAGACCCGTACATTCATTCATTTACAATTATAGCATTTATATGTAAATTTCATTTTTTTTGCTTTAAGGACCATCAAATACAATCTTACAAAAGGACAGTCAATAAATTCTCAAATATCTTACTTCCCCATTGGGAATACTCTTTTCTTCCAGTTATCATGCAGCTGACCTCTATTTTCATAAGCTATTTAATATCTCTCAAAGTAAAGAAGTCTATGACCTTTAAAGGCTCTACTGTCCCATGTGATCCCTTAGAAAATGTAAGCACTGATGATACTAAACACTTTTTTTTTCACTTCACTTGAAGTTCATCAACATACTGTTAGCCTCCCAAAAGGTCACCATTTTATAAATTACGCCTTTCACAATAACAAAAAAGAATAGCTTAATTGGGGTTCTCTGGCAGTTGCTTTGCTCAGTTATCATCAGTTACAGCCAGGAAGAAGAAAATTGGGCGAATATCTGAGGTTTTAATCCCATAGAAAAAAGTTTGTAATAAATGAACAAATAAATTAATAGCCAAACCTCATTTTTCCCAAGTGGCCAGACTCTAAACCAACATGGTATCTGGTATTCATGGTGCCTTATCCTTATCATTATATTTCTTTTCCATCATATTCTCTCTCTCTCCTTCCCTTGCTTCCTCTCCTGCCCATCCCTCCTTCCCTGTCTCAACCTTGCTTTTGTACGAACTGCATACAATTTTTATATGTTTTGTGAAATCAGACAGGAGATGGAGAAGCCCTCAGTTAAAGGTGTCCCACCTAATGTAGGTAGTCATGGGTGCAGACCACAAGTGTTCTGGGTGCCTAGTAAAAGGAGGAAAACAAAAATGCCAGAAGAATAACAGGAAAGCTGATTTTCAAGAGGAAAAACTGCCTAAGAAGAGTTGGGAACAAAACTGATGGGAAGAGAAGTAATTTGAAAATTAAAAGAGAAATATGCATTGCGGGGCTTGAGTTTGAAGTTTTCATGCAGAAGGGTTTCAAAAACGCTGGCAATCTGATTAAAGCATGGCATAGAGAAAGAGACTTCTTCATGAAGCTGTTGGTGAAAGGCACAGGTGAGAGGTTAGCGTGTCATAATAAACACGAGACGTCTATGAGATAATTCCCTCTATTACCATAACATCTGGCACATCGATAAGTGCTCAAAATAGGTTTGGTTCTGCTACCAAGCAACTGGAGGGCAGCAACTAGAATACAACTGAAAAGACGCATGTGATCACTATCTGACCAGGGGCTAGCAATCACACAATGGAATGACTGGACTCCAAAGGTGATTGAACCACCTGATTTGAGATAAATGAGAATCCAGAGCATTATACCTTGAAAGGGTTATCAGAATTGGCCACAACACCAGGAAGGAAAGAAGATGCCCATGATAAAAGTTCCAGGGTAGCAAGACTGTCCTCATAACAACTACATTTGTGACTGGAAGCCAGCGAAAGGAGTAGCTGTAATCATGTCAAACTTGAAGCAGCCAGAAGACATTCAGAGGAACTAGCAAACGGAGGGCTGGTGACTAAAGGAGACACTGATCGTGGGAAGCCATCCTCTGGGAAGGCTTCCCTCATACCCCAGCACTTAAGTTGAAAAACATACAGAGATGAAAAAATAAGTGTCTTGTTTCTAATAAGTTATTTTCCATTATATTGATAAGGATAAGGGGATAGGAGAAAAGTAGTGGCTTTTCAGCAATTGATGCAAAAGAAGTGTGAACACATTTGTTGTGGCAGATGGGCTAATTAATCCATAAGCAACTTGTGAATGTTAAGTAAAGAATATAGCTTTTCATATGTAAACCATATCACGCCAATGTTTGATGAGGCTTCTGTCTAACGAATAATCTACCCTTTTGGATAAACTGCAAAATCTGGGCCACTTGTCAGTAACCTCCCCAGAGTGGCTGGTGGCCTCAGCTTGGATATGAGCTGTGCTACTTTGATTATTTCTCCAAATCCAGCCACATGCAAAATTTTCTTGAGTATCAGAAAACAAACAGGCTTTTCTTTTTTTCCTTTTGAAGTGCAAACAAGTGCGTGAATAACCAAGTCACCCTAGCGTGTTGCCATTTCCAGAGTCAGCTGTTTGGGAATGATGAGGGTTTCCAAACCTCTGTTTCCTCTTATGAAAAATCAGGCTTTTTATGCATCTGTGCCTTTCATAGGAAAATATATACAGGACTACTCAACAGAAGAAGCATAGAATACCTAACATTATGTGCAATTTATATAACCCAATTTCAAGTTGAGAAGAAGTATAAAGCCCGGGAATATTGTTTGTTTCTGTTTACAAAATTTTTATTGCTTCCTTTCTTCATTCATTCATCCGGTTGTTAATGGTCAGCTTTATAGAGATGTAGATGACAAGGAAAATTATAATATACTTAACATGTACATT